ATATATATACATATATATACATATATATATATATATATATATATATATATATATATATATATATATATATAGTATATATATATATATATATATATATATATATATATATATATATATATATATATATATATATATATATATATATATATATATATATATATATATATATATATATATACATACATAAATATATATATATAAATATATATATTTATATGCATGTATTCATACATACATAAATACATACATACATACGTGCATATATACATACATACATACAAACAAACTTACATGCATACATACAAAGCATGCATGCATGTATGCATACATGCATACAAAGCATGCATGCATACATACAAACATGCATACATACAAACATACAAATATACATACATACATACATATATGCATGCATACTTACATACTTGCATACACGCATAATACATCCAATTATACCAGCGTATACAGACGTCGCCGTAGATCGGCTCCACTCCACGATGTGTATCTACGAACTAACGCTGACGTCAGATGTCCGACAGACCCACCAAACGCACCCAATCCAGCCTCTGGTCCTAAGCCTGCACCACCCATTAGAGAAATACACGCACACACCATGACTTTCATGCCCATCACAGGATCTTGGTGCTGCTTATGTATTTCGTTTATAAACGAAGGTATTGGCCCTGTGATGTTCATATACACGCGCAATGAACTGACAACTAAACCTGTCAGTGCTCCTACAAATATCCACCACCACCGTCCGGTCAAGAACTGCATAGTGTGTGGATTGTGCGCAAATTCCTCGTTGTTGTCCACTTTATACCACCACTGCGGGAACGCCATCACGAGGTTCATATACAGCAGGCCAAATAACGCTATAGCCCAGGAAAACACGACCACAATCGCACCATCTACCCAGAAGATAGAGGGAGGATACAACTGAGCGAAAGACTCGACATTGACAATTGGTGGGGGGTCGGGCAAGCTTGATTTCTGGTCGGTCGAGTCTGGGGTTGTACGCGTATCGTTTAAGTGTAGGTTTGTATTGAAGCCTTCATCGTGTTCATCGTGTGCTAGAGTTGTTGAACTTTTAATCGGACGGTCATTATCTGAACCGCCTGTGCCGTCATGTTCTGTGGTTAGAATTTTGTCACTGCGTGATTGCGCGAAGTGATCGATTGATTTTTTTTCCATCTCCCTTACGCTACTACACTACTATTCGGTTCTTAATTCACACATTAAAGCGCTCAATATGCCCTGTTCTTCAAGTGGTGAACCTGAAAATATTCGACTTCTTTTTTTTGTACTTTCTGTGCCACATCACCTGTCAGATAATAAGAACCTTCTACAGTTCAATATAAATATGAAAAGTATAGTTCGAATATTATAACGATTACAACTCGAAGTGTTTTTAATAATGAGCCGGAACCTCGGTCCGATTAACCGGCTGTCGACTGAAGTGTTTAGAAAAGTGTTTCCATCACCCATCTCCGAGTACCTATGTGAGAACACAGGAACATAAAATAAATAATACTTTTTACAGATATTCAACTATATCTCCGTATTTGGCAATTTTCACAGCCTTCTTCTTTCTTCTTCAAATCAGACAATTTATTTGGCATACGGTCGTTCATTTTTTAGGAGGCTATTTTTTAGTAAAATATTTTATGTATGTGTTTAGTTCTATTTCGGAGGCTAGGAGGCTATGATGTGTGGGTTTATGTAACTATTTTAGGAGGCTATATGTTCTTGCTTTTTTATGACCTATTTATGTTTTAGGAATAGGTCACTTGGTTCGCAGGCTAAGGGAAACCCTGTGGGATTGAAAAGCCTGGGCCCTGGCCTCTGGCCCTCTGGCCCTCTGGGAATACGCAAAACTTGGGATTCGGTTAAAAATAAAAAACTGAAATCATAGCAGGCCTAAAAAAGGGCCTACAAAAATAAGGGATGGTCGCGTGTGTCCAAGAATAAGTGCGTGATATATTTTCGTGAGTTCGGAAACTTCGGATAGCCAACGTTTTTATATATTTACAGTTTTACACATACAAAATCCCCAGTAATTCACGAACAAGACACAAGCTATCGTAAGTTTATACTAATTCACACAATGCAGTTCAGTGACGACAACAAGGAGCTTATCCGCATGACCGTGGCTACGGGCAAGTCAGTATTCCACTGGACCTTCATCCCCGCGATTATCTACTTAGGTATATACTTTTTGATATATCTATATATAACTATACATATATATATATATATATATA